TTTCTTCTGTTTTTGGGTATGAATTCCAATAATTCCTATTAAGGCTAGTTTGAGTATTACAATAATTATAGTAATAATTAAGATAAGTATATCTGTTAGTGATTGTGATATATGTTTATAGTATATTGCAAGTTGATTTTTGTTGCTGAGCATAATATCTAATGTTTGGGTAGTTCTTGTAGATTCTCTTTTATATTTTTGGTATATACAACTGTATAGTGCGATCATCAAGATCTGTAGTATAGCTAGTATTACTATAGTAAATATAAAGTATGATTGTGTTTGATTTTCTTGATCACAGTTGGTTGTAGTATTGTTGATCGTGGTAGATATTCCTATTTTGGTATACTATTGTTTTTCTAGCAAGTTTGTGTTTTGTGTTGAAGCTTATATTATTTTAAGATTGTTTCTGACTATTCTAATATTGGTAAGTTTCTAATAATTGTTTTTGTATTTTCCTATTATTGATTATCATATGTGTTCATGAGTCAGTTTGGTATTGATACCAATCATTGAATGATGAGTAATCTGCTTCTGTTTCAGTCTTGTATCAGTATTTTCTGTTTGGTTTGGTTAGTGCTGGTGGAGGTAATCCTGTTCTTACAATATGAGGTTTATTTGGTCTTTTATTGCCTTTAGTAGTTTGGTTTACAGCTCGGTTGGCTTTTAATTGGTCTGCTAATCGGGCTATCTGTTTAGGTGTTAATTCTTTTTCTATCAGTTGTTGCGTAAATAGTAAGTTGGGCGTTTGAGTGATGGGTAATTGATTGTTGGGCTTGTTGTCGATACTAGCATTTCTTTTAGTTTGTTTTTTTAGGCAATACAATACTATTGCTATTATGGCACTTAATATTGTTGCTATTATACTCAAAATTTCTATAACTAATGTTTTGTCGATTCTGGTTAGTGGTATTATATTTGGTATTTCCATTGATTTTACGGAGTTGCTAATAGACAATGGTTTATCTGCTACATTTAGAGTTTTTTGACTTGGTAAAGCCATTGTTGGGGTTGATGTACTTATTGTTGAGAATATAGTTATTAGTACTGATAAATTTGTATTAGCATATATTATGTAAAAATATCTAATTGGTTTTTTGTTTATTTGAAACAGTTCTTGGATTTTCTGAGTTAGTGTGGTTATAATTATAATTTCAATAATTATTTTCTAAATTAAATTAAATTTCATTTTTTGAGTTTCGAAAAGATTCTATGCTATTTAGTTGGTATAATAATTAAATGTTGATGCCTTTTCCTTTAGGGTTTCCTATTTTATTTTTATTCTAAAATGTATATGTTTATGTTGTAATATTATATTATAGTTTCAAGAGGATGATTGTAAATAGTCTTAATTATAAATAGAAGTAGTTAATGGTAATTAACCGTGGATGCTTCTATATTGTAAATAAAAATATTCTAGCATGAACACTTCTTCTAAAATAGGAGTTTAAAGATGTATGTAGTTCTTGATTTTGGTCTTTTTCCTTTTATGTGTTTAATTCTAATCTTATTCTAAAAATGTTATATTATCTACAAGGTTTTAGTTTTTATTATTATCTTGGAATAGCTTTCCTTTAGACTCACGACTTCCTATTAGTTAACGGGGTATGCTATTGATCAAATTTATTCAATAGAATCTTCTCAAGATATTTTATTTTATGAGTCTTGCAGTTGTACTGTATCTTTTGTCTTATTGCATAAGATATACTTATGTCTTATTGCACTTGATACTTCAATATGTATAGACAATAATAGTTTCTTTTTAATAAAATGTTTCTTTATTATAAGATAGTTTATTAATACAAAAATATTATACAATAATATATTTATAGTAGTAATGGGTAGTTATTACAAGGGTAATATTTCTAATATTATCAAAGGGCTAAATATAAGAATATTATTACAAAGTTTTATGGTAGGATGAAAATGAAGTGTTTAAATACATTTTTGAGTTATACAAAATTTGAATAGATTTGTAAGTTTTAATTATTCGATACTATACTAATTTATTCTACTACTTTCTATGCTAATCGATAAATTGATTAATTATACTAAGAATAACATGATTCACGGGTAAGTTCCTTTCTTTGGTAGTTTAATTAGTCTTCACGAGTTTCGTGTATTGTGGTTGTTTTGATGTATGCAAAAATTGTTAATTGGTCAGATTGATCAGGTAATCCGAAGCAGGTTCAGATCAACTGTAATACTTCAGTGCCGATAGCTCCTTTCTGTTGGAAATCAGTGGTGCTACTATGGCATTGGTATTTTATGATAAGATTGTCAATTCGGGTTATCGTAATTTCTTAGTTTTGGTCAAATAGTCGATTTTGGTAATTGATGATCACCTTAAAATTATCTGAACAAGCTAAAGTATCATTAAGCTCTTGGCATTAAAAATAAGAATTACTTGTACAGGTAATTCAGCTATCCTATTGGTTTGTCTTTGTTTGTTGCTCCTTAATTGTTGGTGGGCGTATTTCCTCTTTTAGGAATGATTCTTTTGGAAATTCTCTATTTATGTCTAATTTATGTGGATCATATGTCATAGAGGGTGCAATCCTTCTATATCGGGATTGATATTCATTCTTATAATACGGTATTAATAATTCAAATAGTTTTTTCTTGTACAAGTAGATACTTGGCATAAAGAGTTTATGTTGCACTTGTTTGTATGATGGATATTGGAATGGTCCTTGTTTATTGGTTTCCATATTCTGAATTGTCTTCTTTTCTTTATCATCTAATTTATATAGATATATTGGTATGACGATTCGGTTTGTTGTTGTTACTTTTTTTTTCGCCACTTGGTTGTTGTATAATAGTTGTATTTCACATTATTGTTTGAGTAATAATTATGAATCATTATTAATTGCATTTGTGAATCATCTATTTTTAGATTGATTTCTTCTATTGCTTCTCGTTTAATGCTTTGGTAATATGTTTTATCTTTAGGTTCATATTTTTCTTCAAAGTATGACCATTGGTTCTGGTATATATTATATCTGATTCTTTGTGCTGCCAAGATTTTGAAGATTATCTTGGTTCCTTGTTTCTCAGTTATATACGAGATTATTACTGTGTATGCCCGCATTATTTCTACTTCTATTTTTGGTAATATTGGTAGAATAGATACTTCTTCTAATTGTGATGTTTTGTATCTCTAATTTGCCCATCTTTGATTTGTTGGCATTGTTTGGTATTCAATAAATGGTTTCCCTGTCAATATTGTTCTGATCATATCATTAAGATTTTCATGGTTGTTATTTATTTCAATATATGTTGGGTATATTGATTTAATATGTTTCTTGTAGAGATTATATATTTCTTCAAGATATGTTACATTAACATTCCATTCTTCTTTTCGATCTCTCATTAGTTTTCATTGGATCATTATTTCTTTATCCGGACACAAAGAATTAATATCAAAAATATCTGAACTATTAGAATTAATGTATAATGATATACCAAAATATACATTTACTTTACAAATATGCATATTATAAGAATTTCAAAAAAAGTGGTATCAACTCATCTCAATGCAAGAAAAGAGAATAATTACCATATTAACATATATCCTACTAGACCGAACATTTATAGATACATTAATATTTGAAGAAATGAATATTCATAATCCAAAAGAAAACCAAATTTTACAAAAAATCTGAAAAGAATTAGAAAAAGCACTATACAAGTACAATCCAATAGTACTATTCTGTAATCCAGATAAAGAAATAATGATCCAATGAAAACTAATGAGAGATCGAAAAGAAGAATGGAATGTTAATGTAACATATCTTGAAGAAATATATAATCTCTACAAGAAACATATTAAATCAATATACCCAACATATATTGAAATAAATAACAACCATGAAAATCTTAATGATATGATCAGAACAATATTGACAGGGAAACCATTTATTGAATACCAAACAATGCCAACAAATCAAAGATGGGCAAATTAGAGATACAAAACATCACAATTAGAAGAAGTATCTATTCTACCAATATTACCAAAAATAGAAGTAGAAATAATGCGGGCATACACAGTAATAATCTCGTATATAACTGAGAAACAAGGAACCAAGATAATCTTCAAAATCTTGGCAGCACAAAGAATCAGATATAATATATACCAGAACCAATGGTCATACTTTGAAGAAAAATATGAACCTAAAGATAAAACATATTACCAAAGCATTAAACGAGAAGCAATAGAAGAAATCAATCTAAAAATAGATGATTCACAAATGCAATTAATAATGATTCATAATTATTACTCAAACAATAATGTGAAATACAACTATTATACAACAACCAAGTGGCGAAAAAAAAAGTAACAACAACAAACCGAATCGTCATACCAATATATCTATATAAATTAGATGATAAAGAAAAGAAGACAATTCAGAATATGGAAACCAATAAACAAGGACCATTCCAATATCCATCATACAAACAAGTGCAACATAAACTCTTTATGCCAAGTATCTACTTGTACAAGAAAAAACTATTTGAATTATTAATACCGTATTATAAGAATGAATATCAATCCCGATATAGAAGGATTGCACCCTCTATGACATATGATCCACATAAATTAGACATAAATAGAGAATTTCCAAAAGAATCATTCCTAAAAGAGGAAATACGCCCACCAACAATTAAGGAGCAACAAACAAAGACAAACCAATAGGATAGCTGAATTACCTGTACAAGTAATTCTTATTTTTAATGCCAAGAGCTTAATGATACTTTAGCTTGTTCAGATAATTTTAAGGTGATCATCAATTACCAAAATCGACTATTTGACCAAAACTAAGAAATTACGATAACCCGAATTGACAATCTTATCATAAAATACCAATGCCATAGTAGCACCACTGATTTCCAACAGAAAGGAGCTATCGGCACTGAAGTATTACAGTTGATCTGAACCTGCTTCGGATTACCTGATCAATCTGACCAATTAACAATTTTTGCATACATCAAAACAACCACAATACACGAAACTCGTGAAGACTAATTAAACTACCAAAGAAAGGAACTTACCCGTGAATCATGTTATTCTTAGTATAATTAATCAATTTATCGATTAGCATAGAAAGTAGTAGAATAAATTAGTATAGTATCGAATAATTAAAACTTACAAATCTATTCAAATTTTGTATAACTCAAAAATGTATTTAAACACTTCATTTTCATCCTACCATAAAACTTTGTAATAATATTCTTATATTTAGCCCTTTGATAATATTAGAAATATTACCCTTGTAATAACTACCCATTACTACTATAAATATATTATTGTATAATATTTTTGTATTAATAAACTATCTTATAATAAAGAAACATTTTATTAAAAAGAAACTATTATTGTCTATACATATTGAAGTATCAAGTGCAATAAGACATAAGTATATCTTATGCAATAAGACAAAAGATACAGTACAACTGCAAGACTCATAAAATAAAATATCTTGAGAAGATTCTATTGAATAAATTTGATCAATAGCATACCCCGTTAACTAATAGGAAGTCGTGAGTCTAAAGGAAAGCTATTCCAAGATAATAATAAAAACTAAAACCTTGTAGATAATATAACATTTTTAGAATAAGATTAGAATTAAACACATAAAAGGAAAAAGACCAAAATCAAGAACTACATACATCTTTAAACTCCTATTTTAGAAGAAGTGTTCATGCTAGAATATTTTTATTTACAATATAGAAGCATCCACGGTTAATTACCATTAACTACTTCTATTTATAATTAAGACTATTTACAATCATCCTCTTGAAACTATAATATAATATTACAACATAAACATATACATTTTAGAATAAAAATAAAATAGGAAACCCTAAAGGAAAAGGCATCAACATTTAATTATTATACCAACTAAATAGCATAGAATCTTTTCGAAACTCAAAAAATGAAATTTAATTTAATTTAGAAAATAATTATTGAAATTATAATTATAACCACACTAACTCAGAAAA